TGCATATTTAATGTCTTTTAATCTATGAAGCACGAGTTCTCATCATGTGATCTAGATTCAATGCATCTCTCTAGTTGCATTAGAAAACCTAATTTTAAATTGCCTGCATCTCAAAATATTTGTAGTGTGGAGCCCTGCTCTGTCACAAATTTTGTGAACATTTACGATAACAATGAAGTTTTGAAATCTCTTCATATTGATTATATATTATGAGTAAATGCATTTATTTTGGCGCTTTGGGTTAAAATTAATGTGACATGTAATCTTTGCTATTTTGGGAGCAGCATTTCTCTTGGCAGAAGCATATCATAATTGAAATTGATATTAAGGTTGATGTATGTTATTGCTATGCTAAATGATTATTATTAACATTAGCATTGTGTCGGCCGTTTTATTTATTTTAATTTCGTTGGTTTGAAAAAGTGAATGATTTTGTGATTTTGAAAATAATTTAAATATAAATATAACATTTTTTGATTTTTAAAAGTAACATTTTAATTTTAAAATAGGTGAGACCAAAGGGGTCTCACATTTAAGTAGTTTAGATGATTGAATACAATACTACGGGTAATACACTTATCCCGAAGAATAAATATATTACTTGTAATAGGGATTCAATTACTTAGAATAAATAATTTGTGACATCCATATTGGTATGCGAAATATTTTATAAAAAAAAAGGCCAACAAGTTCCCCTACCTAACATAAAAAATTAGACAGGGTTTATTTTATCTGGGTTCCTGGTTCCCTATAGAGGCAAGCCCCTATAGTTAATTACATCTTAAATGATCGAAATCACTTAAGAAAACTCTCGATTAAGATCAGATGGTGTTGCTTTCAAGATTTCAAAGTTTAGGTTTTCACGGTTGGACATAGGAAAATCAAATGGGAAAGATTCAAAATAAGAACAATTATTTAAAAAATCCAAAGTGAAGAAAAATAGGGGATATTACAGATCCAGGAGAAACCCCGGAGATGTCCCAACTATCCTAATATTTGGTTTTATGTCTTTGAAATGATATAATTTAATATTTCAATCCTGCAAATTATTTAGGATTTAGGACTTATGTTTACACAATATCGAATTGTGCAAATAGCCTAAAAAGATAGGAGGATTTACACCGTACCATACGGTAACCTCGAAATCCTAAAACGTTAGGACTTATAATTGTACAACAGAGTTGTACAAAAAGCCTAAAGAGTGATCGTATAGGTTGTTATTTAAACTAAAGATAATAATAGGTGATGTGTATGTGTTCATGTGATGTGAAGATGTTTCGTTGCTGCAGATCCACCTGGAAATTGTTCCTCGTCGTGCTGTCCGCGATGTTTGCTCCAAACTCCTCGTAGTAGCACCTCCTAGCTTAGTTTTAGTTTTTGAACATGCTCCTAACCACTAGGTTATCTTAAACTAAGACATAATGTATCAAAGTAACTAAGCATACTGTGTGAAAAAAAAATAATAATGCACTGTATAGTAAAGAGAAAAGACTAACATGCTGAAAGAAGAACATAACATTTTAGGGAAGCAGTATAGCAGACTATGAAAACAATATAACATGCTTTAAAATAAAATGCTGTAATGTAAATTAAACCTGTACACCTGAGAGGTTCATTGCTCCATAAGGGACGAACCGAGCCCAGCATATGAGCCCAAAATAGAGAATACTTTCATTCATAATTTGATTCGAAAGAAGCCCAAACCGAACCCAACACATGGGTCAAAACAGAAAATATTTCGAGCATGAATTTGATTCCAAAAAGAGTCCAAACCGAGCCCATCAAATGGGCTAAAACTAACATAAAACTTTCAGCATATATTTCAACAAGGGACAGCAAAATAAGCAAAATGAGAGCCCCAAAATGTAATTTCCACCATTTAAAATAACTTCTAGCATATATTACAGCAGAAGGGGAGCAATAGGAACATGAAATGAGCTCCCAAATGCATTTTTCCAGTTCATAAACATGATTTCCTGCATGTATTCTATCAAGGTGCAGCAAGATAAACTAAATATGGGCTCCAAAAAATAATTTTCAATTCATAATAAAAATGATTTCCAACATAGGAACAAAATCGAGCCCATTAAATGGCTAAAACTGCAAAGAATTCAACCAAGACGTGCTATCAAAAGGAACCAAACCGAACACACCAAGTAAGCTAAGTAAAATGCAATTTCCAGCTATCATGAAGCTAAAACCGAGCCCTCAAAAAATGTGCTAAAATATAGAAAATTTTTCAGTTAACATTTAATCCAGCATAACCAAAACCGAAAACCAAGACAGCGGCAAAATAGAGAAAATTTTCAACATATGTTTCAAACAGTGATAGATAGCATGAAATAGATGAGCTTGAGTCAATCATTCATTTTTGAACATGAGTAATAAAGGAGTTTGATAATCCATTCTAACATGCATTTCCAGAGGGGCAAATCTCATCTCAAAACCACTAAGAGCCAGGTTCCATAAAATTTTAGAACCCAAAATTTATATCCTGCATATGCTTCGATTTGGGACAGGTAACAGGAAACTGATAAAACCAATTTGGTCCTTAAAACCAACCTCCCAAAGCATCAAAATGAATTATAGCATATATTTGAACTGAAGTATCAAAGAATTTCAGCATGGTTCGGTCCCAAAAGAGCCAAACCGAACATATTAAATAAGCTAAGTAAAATGCAATTTCCAGCATGTATTTTAGCAAAGAGGGGTAGGAAGAGAAGCATAGAATGAGCCCCAAACATGCTTTCTTTTCACCGAATCTAACATATATAATTTCAAAATAAACTAAGACATGCTTCCATATTCCATGCCATCCAAAATAGTGTAACAAAGAGGATAGGAGGAGAATACCTTTTCTTTATGCGAACCTAAAGCAAAGAAAGACTAAAGTAGATTTGAGAAAACCACTCCAACAGCAGTCTACAAATACTCTTCACGATTTCCAGCTCACGGTTCGACAAATCCAAGCCTCAAGACCCTCGAACAGCAGAGGGGAAGAAGATCTCCTCCCCAACAGAAAGAGGTAACCCTCTTAACAACGAAGAATAGGGGCAGAAAAATACCAAATCTCTCTAAAATCTCCCCTTTCTCAAAAACTCTCTATTTTCTCTTTCAAAATTTTCAACAACCCTCAGGCCGCAGAGGATGAAAAGAACAAGTAAGATTGAAATTAGAGAAGATTTTGGCAGCACCTCCCCAATTTTCCCCAAATGGGACTTTATAAGCAAAGAAAGGAGAAGAGCAGCCACCCACCAGCCACCATAGCCAGCAAATCAAGTGAGGGGAGAGGAGGAGAAAGATTTAAGGCAAGAGGAAATGCAACCTAGGACAGAGGAAGAGCCGACCAGATGGAGTTCCACCATTGGGAAGCTATTCGGTTGAGCAGAAATCGAAGAGACCGCGTACGCGAATGGACCGCGATCGCTGGAGAAGAAGATCGTCGCGTGGTGGATCTGTCGTGGAGCTAGGGCACGGGCGAGAAGTCGCGGGATCGAACCGCTCGAACGAGGATTTTAGACGTGCGGGTGTAGCCGTAAATAAGGTTTAGGGTTTATAATTAAGATTGTTAATAATATAAGTATGAAAGTATTAATTATTTCAAAAAGTAAAATTTGATTTGTGCATTTTAATTTGTGTGAAATAATTGCAAATTGGACACCCCTTTTAGGTAATTTCGACATTCCGGCGCAGTCTGTTTCGCCGTCGGAAGTCGTTTTTGACAAATTCATCGATTTGCGTGTCAATTTTCTCGTGTCGAAAATATGACAATATGGGTGCCCTTTCCTACCAAAATGGGTACCCGGACGCGTTGACGCTGTCCAATTTGTCGTCGGAGGTCAACCGGAGAAGTTTGCATTTTCACCCGTCCTTTGGGCTTAATTGAAGTCCAATTTCGTGTAATTTCGTGAACTTTGTGTATTTAATGTGTGTATGTGACGAAAAATGTCGTGACGATGTTTTCCTAAGGCTTGAGGCCTTATTTGGACCATATCCCTTAAGTCTTCGCAAAATAATCCATAACCGCTCGCTCATAAGACGATGGTCTTGTGCCAAAGATGCTAAACATCAAAGGAGAATAGGAATTGGCTAGAATTTCTAGAAGGGTGAGTCTCAATTCTAGTTTTCTAAGATGGTAAATAAGAATTTCTAGAGCTAAAATCTAGGCTCTAAGGAGGAGAAGACAAGACCTCACAAAAATGAGGTTAACAAATGGACCCCCTAACAAATGGACCCCCAATAGGTCCCCAATAGGTGTGGTGTGCGGAACAAGCACACCACGCGTATTGGTGTTTACCGAAGCGACCAACAAACCAATGAATTGTTTAAGAAAAGGTAGTATTTGATATGAAATTAAATTTGAGTTGGGTTCTCAATCAGGAACCCACAACTCAAGAGAGACTTTGTGAACGAATGAGTTGAGAATGAAACGATTTATCACAAGTTTGCCGCATTCGATTTAATCGAGTGGAAAGATTAATTTAAGGAGGTAAGGGGGCCACCTACAAGGGGTTTACGTCAAAGGAGGGCCACCAACAAGGGGTTTACGCCAAAAGACCACCAACAAGATATTTACGTCAAAGGAGGGTCAGCAACTGGAGATTTACGCCAAAAGACCACCAACAAGGGATTTACGTCGAAAGGAGGGCCACCAACAGAGGATTTATGCCAAATTTAAGGACCAACAACAAGGGATTTACGTCAAAGGAGGGCCACCAATAAGGGATTTACGTCAAAATACCACCAACAAGGGATTTACGTCGAAAGAGGGCCACCAACAAGGGGTTTACGCCAAAAGACCACCAACAAGGAATTTACGTCGAAAGAGGGTCACCAACAGGGGATTTACTCCAAAAGATGACCAACAAGGGATTTACGTCGAAAGAGGACCTTTAACAGGGATTTACGTCAAAATTTAAGGAATTCAAAATTAATTTAATTTATATATACTGTATATATATATATATATTCAAATCCATTTTATATTAGATGCTTTCTTTATTTTATTTTGCATCGTTTCATGTTCATTGCAAGACTGAATTAACATTTAATTTAACATTCTTAAATCAATCGCATCATATGGCAAAAAGAAATCTTCATTGATCCTTCAAAGTCTGATATATCGGGATACAATCCAATCGTAAAGTGATCTTGCTCGAAACAAATTGTAGACTTTTAATGTCATATCCATCCTTCTGACCTCTCGGAGTTATGTAGAAACTAACCCCTCCTACAAAGATATGTTCTGGAACAAAAGTCCCCCTCACATACACTTTGAGGCGTGCCTGTTTCATAATTCCAAGGGTCGGAGTTCCTCGAGCTCTGGATCATGCTGATATCCAAACGGTACCTTACTGTCATCCATTCTTCTGAAAGTAATTGATATTCTTTTTTGCGGAACCCCCGGTACACAATGTTTTGCCAAATCTGCTCCATTTCCTTTGAGAAGCAGGACCGAGCCAACAGGAAGAGGAATTTCCATTGCTCCACGAAATTCAGCTGGACCAATCACTCGTATCTCTTTTCCGAACATTATATTGCACTTACTGATGAGAGACACGATGCAGAAGGGTCTCACGAAATCGTGGTTATCAATATGAGGCGGTATACAATCTCTTTCTTCATAAATATTAATTATGCAGCTGTTGGGTACTTTATGTACCGGTAAAATACGCCATTCTACCATCATTTTTATCATCCTTTTCATAAGCGGTGGCAGCGGGTCAACTTCATCATGTCGAATAATCCTTGGGGGATTTCCTCTTTTATCATATGCATAATTATAGCAACATCCATACTGAATTGTGATCCTGCTCTTGTCTTTCATCCACTTTCGGGGTTCTGAATAGGTCCTCCCTTTTAACAGGCCTTCTCGGCCTCTTTCTCTGAGATCAAAAATATATTTCACCATTCTTTTCTGTTCATTTTCGGAGAAGACGTCAGTATGCAATTCCAATCCTTCCAAAATATTGACGTATCTGCCTCGTATCTTTTCAAAATATTCAAAATTTTGCTTTCGCACTTTTTGGAACATTGCGAGTTCTTCTTCAGAAATTATCTGCAATCTCTTAGGCTGCACATACTGCGGGATGTATGACTCTACATCTGGATGTTCCTCACTTCTCTGAATTGCTGGGATTATAACACATTCTTCATTAGAAGCATCATATTCCATATATTCATCATGAAAACCAGCTAGGGAATATTCTTGCAAAGTGGTCTCCAGAATTGAACTTTGTGGAACCTGTCTTCCTGCAGCAGTTTGAAGCGGAACATTCTCGATTATTTGCTCAGACATTTCTTCTTTATTTTGAGAAATCAAATCATGCTTCGAAGTCGTCTCCTCAGCCGCTAACTGTACGAGTGCTCTGCGCTTATTTCGACTGGCAATCCTGAGTTGGGTGCGGGTCAACGGTACTTTTCGCGACAGATTTGTTAGAGCGCTGATGAGCTCTCATTCTGCTGTTAAAACTATCGACCGCATCTGCCCAACTCTTCCTGACGGATCATCATCATTTTCCTGGGTTTCCTTTCCATTTTCATGCTTTCTTTTCTTTGCAGTGGTGTCAACTTCCTTACTTTTAAAACTGAGTACTGGTTTCAAACCTTCCATCTCCTTTGAACTGACCACACTTAACAGGTGCCCCTCATTTTCCAACTTGAGTTGCTCAAAGTTCAAGTCGAAATCAATGATGGCTCCCTGTGCCACTTCTTCCTTGTTTAATGCGAGATTTATGTCATTCTTAAAATAGAAAATCAGTCTTTCGTTCGACATTTCTCTGTAAAAGACAGGAGAAACGTCAGCACGTTGATAATCAAATGAACAAGAACAATGACTAATTATTATTTAGAAAGTGATTTAGTTCATGTTTAAATTTGGGAAAAACAAAGAAAACTTATTATTATTCATGAGAATTCATCTTGTCTTGTTAATTTTATTACAATATTCTTGGACCCAGTTACTAAAAGTTAACGCATCTGCGTTTCATAGGACCTGCAACCGGGTCCCCTAAAACGTCACGACGCGTAGTACTCTTTCAAGTATCTTCCATTAATTGAGAGCATAGACCTTTCGCCCTGACAATCCACTAACTGATAAGACCCTTCAGAATAAACTTTTTCGACCACGTATGGTCCCTCCTAGGTTGGCTCAAATTTTCCCCCTATCTTACGATGTGCAAGAATATGTCTCCTAAGAACCAGGACTAAATCACCAATATTGAAAATCCTAGGGCAGACCAGTTTATCGTAGGCATAGATCATCCTGGCTTGGTAGAGTTCCAAATTCTGTTGTGCTGCTAAACGGTCTTCTTCAAAGGCTTCTAACTCTTCCAATCGGAGTCTAGCATATTCCTCTGTTGTAATCTTGTTGGCTACTGCAATTCTGAGAGAAAGTAACTGAACTTCTAAGGGAAGAACGACCTCGGACCCGTATACAAGTAAATATGGCGTAGCTTGAGTTGGAGTTCTGACAGTCGTCCTGTATGCCCATAGAGCTTCTAATAACTGCTCATGCCATCCTCTCTTATTTTCGTCCAATGTCTTTTTCAGAATCTGCACGAGAGTTTTGTTAAAGGCCTCTGCCAATCCGTTTGCTCTAGGGTAGTAGATGGTAGAATATCTCCAATCTATTCCGTGTCGTTTGATGAAATTATTGATCTTCATGCTTTTAAATGCTGAACCATTATCAGAGATTTCCCTTCGTGGAACACCAAAACGATACACTATGTGAGATTTAAAGAATTGAAGAACTTGATGCGCTGTGACCTCTCTTAAAGGTACTGCTTCTGCACATTTTGAGAAATAATCTGTTGCTGCGAGAATGAAACAGTGTCCTTTTGACGACGGAGGGTTTATCGAGCCCATAATATCTGTGCCCCAACACTCGAACGGCCACGACGCTACTGTAGGGTGCAGCACATTCGGAGTTTGATGCAAGACCACTCCGTGTATTTGACATTGGTGGCAACTTCTGGCAACTTTCATGCAATCAGTGATCATCGTCGGCCAGTAGTAACCCATTCTTTTGACTTTCATTTTCATTTTTGGGCCTGACTGATGAGCACCACACAGTTCTGCGTGCACCTCCTTGACGATCTTTTGTGCTTCCGGCCTGCTCAGGCACCTCAGCCACATTTGATCGAAGGATCTTCTATATAAAACATCGTCCACTAAAGCGTATGACAACGCTCTCTTCTTGATCTGATGCGCCACTGACTTATCCTCCGGTAATTTTCCGGACTTCAAATATTCTATGAACGGTTCCCGCCAATCATCAGCATCTTCTGCAGCTGCAGCCACTATCTCTTCTATTTCAAGCCTTTGTAGAACATCCATGCTGATTTTAGAAAGTATTTGTCGTCCCTCTACAGTGATATCAATTGAATTTTCTGATGGGCATGCTAACTTTTTTGCAAGTTTTGCTAAAGCATCCGCATGAGCATTATCTTTTCTCGGTATCTGGTATATTGTTACATTTGAGATTTGCTCCAACAATTTCATTGTATAATTAAAGTACTGTTTCAATTTTGGCTTCAGAATCTTGTATTGCCCTGCCACTTGCTGGATAATGAGTTGTGAATCACCAAATATCTCGATGTCCGCTATTCTCATTGAAATTGCTAATTCCAATTCGGCGATTAAAGCTTCATATTCGACCCCATTATTCGTGCAAGGCTCTGTTAAATGATAGGAGTACCTTAGTAACCCTCGATCTGGTGTTATGAATATCAGACCAACTCCTGCTTTGCCAGGTATTACTGTCCCTGAATCTTTATCTCTTTGTGATGATGAAGCTCCATCAAAGTACATTTTCCAAATTTGAGAATTGGAGGGTTGTATATTCATAATTTGCTCATCTGGTAGATCATCATTGAGAGGTGAATCAGCTGGTAAAGGATACGCCGCGAGGAAATCCGCTAAAATTTGTCCTTTAATGGCGCGAAGAGGTACAAATGTTATCTCAAATTGCAACAAAATCATTGACCATCTTGCTAATCTTCCAGATAGTGTTGGTCGAGTCATTAAGTATTGTAATGGATTAACCCTTGAAATCAGTTGGACCTTATGAGCGAGCATGTAATGCCTAAGCTTTTGAACGGCAAAGATTAAAGCTAGACAATGCTTCTCGATAGGTGGATACTTTACTTCCGTCGGAATCAGACGACGACTCAGGTAGTAAAGGGCATTTTCTTTCCCTTCATCATTAACCTGTGCTAACAGGGCACCAAGAGAGTCGTCCAAAGCCGCAGTATAAAGTATCAAAGGTTTACTTGAAATCGGGGCTGCCAACACAGGTGGCACCATTAAATATTGCTTAATTTCTTCAAAAGCCTTTTGGCACTTCTCATCCCAGATATACTTAGCGTCCTTTTTTACTAGTGCCGAAAAGGGTTTACACCTTCCTGACAGATTAGAAATAAAACGTCTTAAATATGCCAATTTCCCTTGAAAAGATTGTAACTGCTTTAAACTCTTAGGGGGTGGCATTTCTAATATCGATTTAATCTTTTCTGGGTCGATTTCGATCCCCCGGTGACGGATAACAAATCCAAGGAACTTCCCAAAAATGACACCAAAGACGCACTTTAGGGGATTCATCTTGAGATTTAATCGTCGCAATCGTTCGAAGACAATCCTCAAATCATACAAATGATCTTTCTTCCGTTTACTTTTAATGACCAAATCATCCACATAACATTCGACTTGATTGTGAAAGAGGTCGTCAAAAATTCTCGTCATGGCTCGCTGATAAGTTGCTCCGGCGTTCTTCAATCCAAATGGCATTACGGTGTAGCAGTAAATTCCAATTGGAGTTCTGAAAGCTGTAAATGTTGCATCTTCCGGTGCCATCTTGATTTCCATCCATAAATGAGAAAATTGCATATGATGATGCAATATCTACCATTAGCTCTGGAATTGGTAATGGGAACTCATCCTTCGGGCATGCTTTGTTTAAATCTCTGAAATCCACGCAAATACGGATCTGACCATTCTTCTTTCTAACTGGCACTATGTTGGCTAACCATGTTGGATACTGCTCTTCTCGTACAAAATTAGCCTCTATCAATTTCTTAACCTCAGCGGTGACCTGCTGCTCGATCTCAAGGCGCATCCTCCTGGGAGCTTGCTTTACTGGAGCTATGGAGGGGTCTATTCCGAGTTTATGAACTGAAACCTCTGGTGATAGACCTGGCATCTCCTCATAGCTCCAAGCAAAACAATCCTTGAATTCCGTCAATAACTCGATTAAATCTGTAGACTCTTCATCACTGAGCAAAGAACTTATGAAGGTTGGTCTAGGATCTTCCTCTGACCCTAGATTTATTTCTCTTAACTCATCAACAGTTGACTTAATTTCCTCTTCGAACTCTGGAGGAGCATCTTCTAATCTAAATTCATCAGGATCATCTTCTTCTTCAAAACAACACTCATTGGGATTACTAGTAACAACCAAGCAAAATTCTGCGTCACTGAGTGGCCCTACCGTGCCGAAACCAAGGCCTTCTTTTGATTTAGGATCTCGATTTTTATTATTCCACAATTCCTCAAAAAGTTGCAACCTGTCTTTTGATAGTTTGTCTGGTATTAAGCCACGTTGAGCAAGTTTCTTAACACAGGGAGAATAATAATCAAAAGGTAGTTCCATTAATTCATTTGAAACATCTTCCTCCAAATTTACATCAATTCTAGGAACAGAACTAGAAGAACCGCGATAGAACTTTATCGGTTTTAATCCCCCACCACGCACTTCCTTGACCTCCAAACCCTTAATTTTTTGAGAATTAATGGGAGTTAAGGCCACGACCTGCACGTAGTGGTTGATTCTGTCATACATTGACTTGTACTCATCTCTTTCATCTTCTTCCAATGAAATTTCAAAACTTGGCGTCTTCTGGCGTATCACCATTGCATTCTTTCCGGTCTCTTCTTCTTCTGAGCTTTCTTCTAACTCAATATTGATAGTCGAATTCCTTTGTTCAATAATCTTCCCAACTCTTCCTCGGCCTCGTCCCCGGCCTTGATCTCGGATGCGAGGACTAAAAGAGTTTCCAATTTCTCGTTTCGGAGGAATGGTGGAAGATCGTTGAACCGGCACCCGACTACTCGGCTCTGGTAGTCAACCTTTCTTGGTACGGCATCTCTGGAGAAAACTATTTTTTTCACGGGAGCATAGTAAGCAGCATCTTCATGAATTCCGATCTCATGCACTGAGAATGGCTGCAAGTCCCCTTTAATGCATCGCTCTCGTCCTTCTTCAAAAAATTTTATACACTGGTGCAATGACGATGGGACCAT